AAATGGTGCAACAACACGACCAAACCGTCGTGAAACTTGCTGTCTTTACCTACAAAATTTCGTGAAAGTCCAAGCTGACATTTCACGGACCCTCACGCGTGAAAAGTCGATAAAATTTCCCCATGGGCAGTACCACAGGCTACCGAGCCTTCTGATTCACCAGAATAAAGTGGTGAACCAAAATAATACAAGATGAATTTCATTTCATTTAGTTAAAATCATTTTAAACGCAGAATTATTTAAACGGAAAAAAACGCTATATTCTATTTTCTAGTTCTGACACGTTTAAAAAGAAAATGTTTTGGAACGCGAAATTAAACATGGCGTTTCGTCGCGTTCGTGAAAAAAACTGAGTTGTTTTATAAATGCACTGAAGTCCAGAAATAAAAACTGGCGTTTTAGTCCGTCTTTATCACAAACGCTATGAAACGTCATGTTTCGCGTTCCATGTGTGGAAACTAGAAAAACAGCTATGACGTTTCATCGCGTTTGTGAAGAAAACGGACTAAAAAGCCAATTTTTAGTTTTGGATTTCAACGCATTTATAAAACAACTCAGTTTTTTTCACGGACGCGACGAAACGCCATGTTCAATTTTCCGTTCGAAAATTTTTTTTTAAACGTGTCGAAACTACAAAATGAGATATGGTGTCTCTTTTCGTTATCCCTTGAAAAGCGTTCTCTCATCTTATGGTTTTAGTGAGTTGAGAAAACAAACGGAAAGGAAAGCAAGGCATTTGAGCGGTGTCAGAATATCACTACGCAGTGTATTCTCAAAAAGAGACTCTTTTTTTCAAACTTGCTGGGCTTACTGGGCTTGGTGCATTCTCGTGCATTCCCACTGAGAATACACCAAGCCCAGCAAGTGTATTCTCACTGACAATACACAAAAATATGCCAGAATACGCAAATATATAAATTTCTATAAAATGTGCTGGGCTTCGTGTATTGTCATTGACAATACGCAAATGTTGCATAGTGACTCACTCTCATGTTGCACCTCCCCCTCCGATCGCGACACTATATTATGTATTGTCAGTATTTGCGTATTCTGGTATGTTCCCGTGTATTGTCAGTATTTGCGTATTCTGGTATGTTCCCGTGTATTGTCAGTAGGAATACATCAAGCCTAGCAAGCCCAGCACATTTTATAGAAATTTATATATTTATATTATTTATATTCTCGTGTATTGTCAGTGAGAATACACCAAACCCAGCAAATAGTGTCTTTTTGAAAGTACACTGCGTACTGATATTCTGACATTTCTGAGGCGTTTTTCTAGTTTCTCGTTTCAATGCGTCTACGAAAAACCGGATTAAAACGCGTTTTTTTATTTTCTCGTTTTGGTGAGACAAGTCACGTAGAAAATTTGACAATGGATATTAACAATAACCGCGTCAAAATTTCTCTCGGTTGTTTAAAACTTGCAAATAGAGTTACTTTCAACTTATCGTTGGTTAACGGAGTATTATGCAGACACACTGCTTATTATAAGCTGAGAATCCTTTAGATGAGAGATGATTATTTTAAAAACATGAATCACCTAACACTGTTACATTAAAGTATACTGAATTAAAGATGATTAGTTAGTTAATTAATAAATATCAACAACTATTACAACGTCTTGACTAATATTGAGTGCAGCCAATGAGTTTCAAGATTATTTCTTGGAACATCGAGAAGTGATGATTCAACTGGCAATCGATTAAGTTGTCGGTATACATGTGCATTACTAATTGCTTTTGCAATTATTGTTTCTAATAGATTTAATAAATTTAACCAAAAACGAATACAATGTTGGGTAAAAAGTCTCCTCGAATAAATAAACAGCATCAAAGATCCATGAAATAATGACATTTTTATTATTTTTATTTTAGATTCCAGCATTTTTTAGTGACAATTTTGAAGAATATACAAATAATGTACGTATCGTTTTCACTTCAATTTACTTAATTTATGTTAGTAACTGTTTTTCTTCATTTATTCAATTTAGGTGTGCTGGGTTCGAAATACCTATTATGTTGAACCAAATAGCCAAATACCGGATAGTAATCAAATACGTCATGAGAGTAGTATTCTATATTATCAATGGATTCCATTCATTTCACTCACTCAAGTATTTTTCTGTTTTTTACCCTATGTATTATGACGTGCACTGAGTCAAAGATCTGGTATAGTCAATAGTCTCTGTTTATTGTTCGTCTTACTTTATTTTATTTTTGTGACAGGTTTTCTCTTTTTAAGAAGTTGATGTATGTGACATCGTCGAAGCAGAAAGTTACATAAAAAGTTTCTATCATTGTATGCACTCACTTCTAAACAGGCGCACCACTATAAATGTAAATATAACGATCTTTCATGCACACACCCTATAGTACATGCACCTCAAAATACTTAAACTACTTTGGTAAAACAAGGAAAATTTGTAGATAGATAAAAATAATGTAAACCAAAAGTAGTATTTCTGTAAAAAACCTTTTTTTAAAAAACTGTAAAACGCAGTAAAAACTAAAAAGATTCTATTATTGTTATTAACACTCACTCGTCCATTTAAGCTCCTATAGAGATAATTAAAAACAATAATAACACTCTTCCGCCTGCATCTTTTATACCTGTCACCATTTCAATCTGATAAAGTGTCTCTCTTAGAGAAAAGAAAAAGAAAAGAGGAAACGCATAATACGTACAATAGTACGTACACAATGAATAGAAACAGATGAAATGACACAAAAAGAATAAGATGACCGACGGTGAAGATAGTAAAACAAAAGGAGAAAAATGATAACCATCGTACCTTTGTTCAGCAAGCTATATAAAACCACTACCAAACTGTTCTGACCACATACACTCAACTGACGAAGACTACTGAAATAGTCGAAATATATTTTGTTTATAATTTAAAATAAAATAAAAAAAGTTTTTTTTTAAAAAAAATCTTATTTTTGCTTTATCAACAAGGTGTTCCAAGCAAAACTGTAAGTAAACAAGTTTTCTTAAAAGAAGGAGAATATTTCAGGACAGGAGCCACACTCATCTACCCTCACCCTCACCTCACATTGACAAATCCCATTGATACATGATAAACCATTTGAAGCATCACGTTTAACAGCTGAACAAGATTGTTGATACAGTCTCCCAAATGAATTTTGTTCCACTTGAATAATTATGCCATTTTTCTAAGGAACATATTAGTGCATAACATTCTTGTTCGGTCGCAAACCATCGCCGCTGTGTTGGCGTGAATTTCTTCGATAAATATCCCACTGGACGATCCCCGTCAGGAAAAACCTGTAGTAATACAGCGTCAATTCCTTCGTCAGAAGCGTCAGTTTGTATTTTGAACGGATACGCTGTGTTTGGTATTCGTAGAACGAGATCGGTTGTTAGGATCTGCTTGAGTTCTTCGAA